GATCTCTTAGGTAAGGGCAAATTCTGTTTATTCCGAACTTCTAGCATGGGAAGGTCTGAGAAGTAACAAAGTACTTAAATTAATCCCTCTTACCATTTTCTGGATTATTTAGAAGGAGAAAAACAATAGGGCCTTTGAGAGGATTGAACAAGATTTTAATAGCATCAAAAATAAATGGTTTCATTATTTTCGCTCTACTATTTTAGGGTATAATTTATAATATTTTGAAAATCTTGATTCTATTGTTAATTGATATGTAATTTTTTTGTAAATGGGTGGTGCTCCCTTAGCACCTCACATAAATACATCTTATCTTCTTTTATTTAAAAAAAAAACTACTAGCGCTACTAAATATAAGTTACGTGAATTGAATCTAAGAACCTCAAAAATAAGGTATCAAACTCTACTACAGGCTAAACAAACTAAGTATTGAAGTAATAAAGTTTGACTTGAAGAAAGTATTTTTATAAATTAATCATATAACCATTAACTTAATAAGGAGATAACATTCTCTAGCAAGTCTAACCCCTTAACTTTAATCTCATGTCCAGGTATGAGCTCTTACACTTGTTTCTATAACCCAAAACCTCATTACTCGCCATCGCAACTAAAGTCGCTTTAAGGAAAATACTCACTCCACCTTTAGGTGAAAATCCTATTAGCAATACATGAATGGAAAAAGTGAACAAAAAAAAGTGGAATATGGAGTAAGAATGGGAGGATAATGCTAAAGCCAAATTGGCAACAGATATATTTCATGACTGTCAACTAACTCTTCGAAACAGAAGAGCAACAAAGAACATTCTGTGCAACAAGATGATACCAGAATTGACATCTAAAATCTCAATCTACCAAGTATTGATTCTTGCAGCCAAAATTTTATAATTTGAAAGTGGCTACTTGCTAAATTGGCAACTCTAGTAATAAGGTAATTCATGACTAACTGAAATCAGATCAGCTATATGTTTGGAACAAATGAATTCGACTAAATATATATGCAGATAGAGATAAAGAGAGAGAAAGAGAGAGAGAGAGAGGGAGAGAAAGACATACATACATTCATTTGCATATTAGCTTTCTGTGTAATTCATTTCTGCCAGATGTACTTTAGAGCTTTATTTCTGCCACCTAATGAAGGAGTAATTGATAATGTGATTGGACTCCTGACCAACTAACAGCTTTTATAGAGATCTATAAGAGAACCTGCCCAACTTTGAGGATTGAGCTCTATCAGTGCATCCTATCCAGTTTAAATATGCCAAACCAAATCAAGATTTGAACCTTGCACCACACAATGGTAACAAAATCCAACTGCTCGAGACCATTTCTTTAGCCCAAGTTAAGCACAGTTAAACCCAACTGCCAGAAAATCATTTCTAATCTAATGGTTGGTTGTTGCCTTCCCCACAAAGGAAGGTCAGGTTTTACACCTGCTATCAGCAGGAAATTACGTCCACCACCCAAAAATGTCAGCAATAGTTTCAAATAAAACCAAACATCCCGAAGAATTGACAACACTATGTTTACTCCATGATCCAACATGTTCTTTAGTTAAACAAGGGCCAAAGAGGCTGAAAAAATGTCAATTTATACTGCTACTTCACAATTTGCACAACAATTTCAAAGGGCATGACGACAATAAAACTATAAAGGACTGATAAGACTAGTATCATAATTTGAGGCCATAAGTAAATATGGCAGCCCAATATACACTACTTGTGCACACGCATACCAGAAGAAGGCTCACCCAACCATAGTGCGTTTTCGACCCCGTTGACGTACTGTAAAATCATCGTAAATCAATAAGAACAAGGAACCCTAATGATACTGGCTTTAAAGAAACACAACCAGTAGAAAGGAAGTTTGTACCTTGAGCTAGCTTGTTCAATGTGGATGACCACTGCTTTGAGGACTTCCTGTATCCAGCAAGTATTCTATCCATCTATGCATGAATGCAGAAACATGTGGTGACACAAATTTCTATCTACTTTTACCCACAGAAAAAGTATGCCAATGAAAATATATATGATTGACTTCCAGCCACTCTTTCCTTTCCATGAATTAACCCCCTTAAGAAAATTCCTTAATCAACTCCAATATTTTATATTTTCAAATTTTATAAGAACATCATAAAACTTCAAAAACCGTATGTTCATATCCGGTTAACCACTAAACCCCTCTCCCCCAGAAAAAAAAGGAAATAGGATCATAATTCTAACCAGGAATATCTTTTCAACAAAAAAAGGCTTTAAATAGAGGTGAATTCAATGTGCAAGTCTTACCACATTCCCACATGATGAATGCATTGACAGCAGGGCTCGCTCAAGGACATATAAGTCAACAGCTTTGTCTTCTGGAAGGGTCGACGTGAAGCTCAGACCAAAATCTATTAGTACCTAGCATAGGATATATGCAATTGAAAAGAAGCTCTAGAAAAAGTGGGAAAAAATAAAAAAATGAAAAATAAAAAAATTGTTTGGGGAAACATTATAAAAAGGATAAAGATGCTAATGTGAAATATCGACAGGTTAGAAAGAACAAGTTTCTGTATCCACACTACGTCCAAAATAATTATGTTACTGTTACTTGTATTTGTTCTCACACAATCTGAGAAATTTTACAACTTTAACAACTAGCGGAGTTCTTGTGTTTTTATCATGTTCTTCAGCTCTCATTTACTCTTGCTGTTGAGGTGTTGAATTTTGCTTTCCTCTTGGGTTTTCATTTGGGACTAATTTTACCAAAACCTATAATATGTAAGATCTACTAAACTCAATATTCTTGTATCCTTGTTCTAATTCTGCATCTGATGCATAACACAATCACCTCCGTTTCTTATTGAGGAAACATGCATAACTCACCAAATTATTGGAATCACTCCTGATCAACATGTTTGATGTGGTCAAGTCGCCATGGATTAAACCACCATCATGTAGCTTGGCAATTGCAACACCAATTTGTGTAGCTATATCCTCCATCTGTTCTGCGATAACACCAGTAATCCCGAATTCAGGATATACATCTTTAACAGAGGGACCCTCAACGTACTCAAATGTCAATGTATGCAGCACAGGGTCCACAGCATATAACACAGGGGTACAAACCCCTAGCCGCCTTGCTATTGTCATACACCTAGACTCCTATTCCATTAAGCCAGATGCAAAATAAGCCAGACAATTGAATAAAGCATAAATTCTTTATTGAATGGGTGTTTGGGATGGACATTATCCTTTGTCGAACTTTTCTTAAAGCACATTTGGTTTTGCAAAGCAAGTCCTTGGGTAAACCCAATCGGGAAAAAAAAAAGAAGGAAAGAAAAAGTACTACAGACACACCTATACAAATCAGATCCTTCAACTAACTATTTTTCATTTCTCATTTCACTAAATCCAATTTGAAGCTTTAGTTTTACGAACACTTGCTTATTAATACAAAAACCAAAACAAAAAGTCAAGTACTAAAGGACTTTTTTTAGCTTCAAAACCACAAGCTTGAAGCAAGTTGGAACTAAAAGCTTTATCAATTAATGAAGCAAAAGACAAAAAAAAGTCCATCCAATCACCCTCATTTAGAGAGGATTAATAAGAGCCCTTGGGGAAAAAAAAGGGAGAGAGAGAAAAGAACTAACCGCATTTAAGCGCTTGAGTGTAAGCTTTGAATCCAAAGATGGATGCCTGTATTTCTTTGAGAACCGTTCCTTGACAATGGACTTCCTTCCCACAAAATGAGACTCAAAAACTCTCTGAAAGGAGATAATAACATAGATATAACTCTACAAACTAAAAGAAATAAAATATGAATATGAAGACTTCTAGTTCGCATGAACATATAGGAAACTGAAGAGACAAGGTCCAACAATCACCAAGAGCATGTGCACAGGCCCTATCTTCCAGTTTCCTAACAGGTTGTCAATACTTGAATGTAGAAAAGATAACTCAACTTACAGCTTCAGCTCCTTGCTTGATCAGAATGAGAGAGCCATTTTCACCATCAGCCTTTACCCCCATAATGTAAAAAACTTGGTAACTCAGAAATTATTCCAAATAAATTATCAATTGCCTGTGTAGATTTTACATGAAATGCAAATCAAAATTAGGAAAAATCTGTCAATACTACCAATTTTTTTAGTCATTGTAAAATACAAAATAGTCAAAGATTCCAAGCAGCAATCAGTTAAAGGAAATACAAGGTGAGATTTTACTGGAGAAAATGAACTAACAAGCATATCAAATCGTGAATTCAAGGGTTCGAAGCCTAACAAAATAAATTAAAAAGACTTTACAAGAAAAAATATTTTTTTAAAATAAAAGAATATTCGAATTAAAAAATAGCAAGGGAGTACCGCCCATATACAAAAGGATGTTCCATGTCAATTAGCATATCAACAACCGCTTCAATATCTTCTAGAGATAGTAAATTGAGACCCAAGAGTGAGACGTCAAAATAGTATAACCACCCATATCTAATATTTATAAGAGTATTTTCAATGCCCTCAAAAGCACAGTTATTCCTCTCTTTCCACAAAATTCAAAAAATAGTGAGGGGGATAAAGCAAGTAGCTTTGTTGTAAGAAAGTAGACCTTCCCATGCCAAAAGTTCTTTAGCCCGCCATTACCTAGTTAATACCCATCAACCTGTAAATCATATAATATAAATCTATAGAGAAGGGGCACCATAACAGAATATGGTTGCAGCTTTCAGCATTGCATTTGCAGAGGAAACATCAGTTGACCAAGGTTCTGCCTCTTTTCATCAAATTATCCAAAGTCAAAATTTTTTCCTTAGCCGCTTCCCATGAAAAGAAAGCAATCCTAGGGAGAGCCATTGTTTTCCATATAACTTTAAATGGAAATGATAATTGCTGATCAGAATTGTTCCGATCCCAAAAACCAACAATCTTTTTATAGAAAAAATTGATGGAAAACTTGTTATTTTTACTCAATTTCCAGATGAGGGTGTCTGGAGTGTCTCAAATGAACACTGACCATCATAGAGAGAAAATTCTCAAATTCCTCCAGTTCCCGATCATTTAAGTTCCTGCTAACTGCAACACAGGAGTGATCCGAACTGTCAAAGGCCTCAGAAACCAACAAATTTTTCTGTTGTGCCATAGCATAGATGGCGGGGAAAACAGATTTAAGGTTTCTTTCTTCACACCAAGAATCATGCCAAAAATTAATCTTGGTACCCCGACCAACCTACAAATGGATGTTTGCAATCAGCTCATTAAAATTGGCAAGTATGTCTTTCCAAGCACTAGTACCATGAGGTCTTTTAGAAAAGACGAATCTGCCATCATTGTCTTTCTTCATCCATTTAATCTCTATAACTTTCCTCCAAAGGCTGTTATTCTCATTTAAATATCTCCAAATCCATTTTCCATGGAAAACTTTATTGATGTTAGCAATAGATCTTATGCCAAGACCTCCCAATTTCATTGGCAATTGAACTTCTTCCCATTTAAAGATGATACACTCTTTATAAGAGTTAACCTACCACCCCACAAAAATCTGTTCTGAATAGCTTCCAATCGCTTGGCAACTCTGCTAGGGATGGACAGCACTGAAAGGGAGTATATGGGAAGGCTGGATAGTGTGTTCTTTATAAGAGTTAACCTACCACCTTTGGACAGGAAACCTCTCTTCTAGTTTGCCAATCTATTATCCACAAGATCAATGACAGAATCCCACCCTTTGTGATCTTTATACTTGAGGCCCAGGGGAAAACCTAAGTATTTTATAGGGAATTTTTTCTCCTGACAGCCCAAAACAGTGGCAAAATGGTCACCATCCACCTCAGAACCAATACTCACCAGTTCAGTCTTGTTTATACTAATTTTGAGCCCAGAAGCAGCTTGAAAGCAAAAAATGATGCATCTTAGATGAAGAAAATAATCAAGTTTAGGTTTGCAGAAAATCAGTGAGTCATCAGCAAAAAAGAGAAGAGATATTTCAATTTTTCTGTCCCCACAACCCAAAGTGATGTCTTTAATCATCCTTAGTTCGGTAGCTCTCTTAAGCAGCTTACTAAAAGTCTCCATGACAATAATAAAGAGTAAAGGAGAGAGAGGATCACCTTGTCGAATACCTCTAGAAAAATGGAAAAAGGAGGAGGGACCACCGTTCACCATAACAGCAAAGGTAGAAGTTGAAATACAAGTTCTTATCCATTTCCTCCATTTGACACTGAACCCAAATCTATTAAGCATATAATCAATGAATTCCCAGTTGACATGGTCAAAAACCTTCTCCATATCAAGTTTACAAAGCAGCCCGGGTCTCTTATTAACAATCAATTTATCCACTATCTCATTGTCAATCATAAAGGCATCATTAATTTGTTTGCCCTTTACAAAAGCGTGCTGATTTTCTCCGATGATTAAATGCAGAACATTAGATAACCTTCAGGATAATAAGTTAGAAATTAATTTATACAAACTACTTATCAGACTTATAGGCCGGAAATCCTTGAAACTATCAGCTCCCTCTTTCTTTTGGAATGAGTATAATAAATGTAAAGTTTAGGAATTTAACAAACTTATCAGCACGATAGAATTCTCTGAAAAGATCAAGAACCTCATCTTCCATGATATGCCAGAAGGTCTGGAAAAATCTGAGATTGAAGCCATCTGGTCCAGTGAATTTATCTCCATCACAGCTTTTAAGTGCAGCAATAATTTCATCCTCAAAAAAATCTTGTTCGAGTATTTCTCTGCTGGCAGTGTCAAGGGTGTCTAAGTGCAAGTTATTCAACTTTGGTCTGATTAGAAATTCCTCAGTATAAAGCTATTGGAAATAATCGTTGGCAGCTTCTCTCAACTTCTCATTTCCGAATATCACCTCCCCTTCATACTTAATTTCTTCAACATAATTATTTCTTCTTCTGTGATTAGCAAGACAGTGAAAAAATCTTGTATTCTTATCACCTTCTTTAAACCATTTTTCTCTTAATTTTTGCTTCCAAGAGATGGCTTCTAGTTGAAGTTTTTCGGCCAGCTCATTTCTCAACTGGTTCCTTTTGTCAAAATCAAAATTATTTAGCCCAAAACACCTTCTTGTTGCTCTAACAAGTTTAGTTCATTCAGCATGTCATTGATCACCATTTCATCTTCAATTCCCACCTCTTTAGTCCATTGTTTATTAGCATTTTTCAGAGACTTGAGTTTAAAAGCCAACCTGTAACTCGCCGTTCCCTCAACCCGGCCGCAGTTCCAAAAATTCTTGACCATATCTTTAAAGTTGCTTATCCGAAGCCACTTGTTATCAATCCAAAAAGGGATAGGGCCCCGGAGGATACCATCATCAAATAAAGAGATAGGAAAGTGGTCTGAAACCGGTCTAGGAAGAACCTTTTGAGATAAACCAAGGAGTAGTAGAAGAAGATAGGGATCAACAAGGAAGCGGTCAATCCTGAAGAAACTATGAGATTTTCGTTGATTGCTCCAAGTCCAAGACCACCCACCAGCATCATATCAGAAAGATTGAGGACTTCCAAGTTGTCGCAGAATTCATCCGCAGAAGCACCATTGAAAAAATCACTGTACCGTTCATTTCTATTGAGAACCATATTGAAATCACCGTCAACCACACCCACATAATCCCAACGGCACCGGCAATCAAACAATTCCTTTCAAAAAATATCTCTTTCTTTTTTGTTGCCCCTACAATAAACCCCGGCAAAGTACTATTCACTGTCATGCGAACCAGAGGCAAAAAGGTAAGAGATAGTGGTTCTGCTAATAAAATGATTTTTGCAGACCATAATTTCCTAATTCCACATTAACAAAATGCCTCCAGCAGTGCCCGAAGCCTGAAGGTGAACCCACCCAATGTCTTTAATGCCCCAAATGCTCTTAACTAGCGAATCATTCATGTTCTCCATTTTAGTTTCCTAAAGAGAAACAATATTCGAGTTCCACCGATTAAGACACCCTTTTATTACACTCTTTTTTTTTACTATCATTTAATCCCCACACATTCCATGAAATGATTTTACCTGTTATTTGCAACATTTTGTTTGTCCCCCAAATCCAGCTTCTTCTTACATCTGCCGTTGTAATTAATTGATGAATACAGACGCCTCAGTTCTCTTAAGCCAGCTTCCTTTTTCTTCTTTGCAATATTGAGAATTTCATCGTTCAACCTTCCTTCATTCAATCTCTTTTCAAGTTTTGAGAATAGGAAAAATGCATGTTGTTCCAAACCCTGCAAGGAGATCCCGAGTTCCACACTAATTTGTTGAATGTTCTTGACAACCCACTCCGAGTACATTTGTTTCAAAACCCATTTGGGGTGTTCAACATTAATAGCTCTTGCGCTGTAATCCAGACCTGTCTCAGATATAATAGTAATTTCAAGACCGATGGAAGAGGGAATCATACCTTCTGAAGGTGCTTTCTGTTCCTCCTCTAAGGACATTATTTCAGTCGGTAACTCTTCCAGAACAGGGGAATCATAATCCAAAGAAACATTCTGAAGGGAGGGAGAGTCGAAGTCGTCTGGTTCTCTGACACCCACTTTATCAATTTGATCATCGGTCTTAGGGCAAACTGAACGAGCAGCATCTTGTTCGTCTTTCATTTTGTCCTTCTCTTTATATTCCAAACTTTCATTCCCTTTAAGAAGATAAGAGCAGCTCACATCATCATTCCTCCCGTCTAAGCCTAGTTTAGGAAGCTTTTTTGGAGATATCTTCTTTTTGGGCTTCCACAATCATAAAACTTTACAACTTCTTTTTTTCCTACTTTCCTTGTATGGGCTAGAGTTCGCAATCCATTTCTCTTTTTCTTCTCTAGTAAATTTGGGCTTCCAAGAGGGTGCAGAGCTTGAACCTTCACCATTGGGCTTTGAGGAATGATTTCCCGCCTTTGTGCCCTTTTGATTTTCAAATTTAGTCAACCAGGTGTCAACCGGATCAGGTAATGTCTTCTCCATCCGACCACAGAAGGGCTTCTCCACCTAAACGATTTCTGCAAAGGATTTTGTTTTGCTTGTCATTAGTTCGATGCAGAAATCTTGTAAACAATGAGAACAGCATATCACAGATGTACTCTTCGGTAAGAAGCCTAACTTAGGGGGATTTGAAGCAATCAAGTTTGATCCACATTTTTCCGGATGAACCAGTGGGGTGTCGGTTAGTTCAAACACAACTTTCATAAAACGCCACCATCCCCCCGCCTGATACCCTTCTGGGAAGAACACTCCTTTTGGTGAGTGACACATTTTTTTGCAAGTTTTTCGGCGAAGCATCAAGTGTAGGGCTGGTTGTAACTCTATGGTGCCTCTGGTATAGTATATGCCAAACATTGCACAGCTAGTGTTAGCGTTTGGTCTTCAAAATTCGTTTTCAGATGGTTTTAGGATACATTTTATTACAGGATTTAAGATTTTCTTTTGTTTCTTTACTTAAAGAGCTTTCAGCTCTTATACCAATTGATCTTGTATCAGTTAGAGCTAATTTCCTACTTACTGGGATGATTTTGAAGGTTGCTGGATATGAAATCAAGAATTGGGACAGAAAATAGAAAAAATACCTTGGAGTCACACCCAGAATCCCCTAAGGATCATATCTAAGATAGATTCTTAAACATCACACTCTAAGACGTGGTTGCATCAGACAACCAAGGTGTTGAAATAACTCCTGTGATAATTTATTAACTAATGGCTTGATCTCAATGTTGAGATCAGCAAATGTTGAGATCAGCAAAGGTATTAATAATACTTGAATGAGAAATTCTAATCTAACTACAATCACAGGATTTAGTAGAAAGCTACAAAAAATCCTAAAGCTAATAAAGACTTAATGTTTTCCACACTCTTAAAGTAACTTTTAGATTAGCTAGCAATGCAATTCTTTATCTATTTAGAATTTCTAAGTCAAACCTATTCACAATCAGTTGTTTTTTTTCCTTCTTTTCTTTTGGATATTGTTATGCTTCAAACCCTTTAATTCATAATGTAATTCCAACTCAAAACCATGAAACTAATCTTCTACATCAAAAAAGCAAAACCCATTTAACCAGCATATAACACGCCAAAAGAACAAAAATACCAACTTAATAACTAAACGAAATTGAGTCTTACATTTACCATATCCAGAATCTTCAAAAAATAAGAACAAAGTTAAATCAAACTCTTGCCAACAACGACAGAAGTTAAATAATGTGCTAGATTCCAAAAGCATAATCCAGAAGTAATCAAAAACCAACACAAACCCATTAAACCTGAGGAAAGCAACACATTCAAGCCCTTAACTGAGATGTCTCAACACAACAAATAAATTTAAAAAAAAAAATCTTAAAAACCTGCTTCGGTTTTCAAGTCCAAATACCAACAGGTTTGTGATAAATGCAAAGCATTTTTAACATATCAAGCTTCTCATTGGAAATACAACCTTCAGATTCTGTATAGTCTAAGAAAACATGCTTAGAGAACACTATGGTATTCCACGAAACAACTTAGGAAACTACTATGATTTTTTAAAAACACCATACTGGTTTTGTATGTAGATTTCAAAATCGAAGCACTTTAACTGCATGCCTAAACTTTTCTCCAAACTATTTCCAGAGTTGCTTCCTTGTATAAATGGATCAATGGAAAGTTTATGCTCAAAAGAGACCCAAATGCTTTCAAGCCAAACTAACCTAAGCCAATCGCATTAATAAACACCTTAGCTTTAATCCAAATGGTATACAATCAATCAAGCAAATGTATCAGAAAAAATCATATCTTGAGACCCACTCATCAACTGTGTGCAGTAACGACTAGTAAAATTAAATCAAAATAACAGCCCCAGATCCCTCCTTTGAGAACCGTAGATCAACCTAAGAATCTAATTGAATCCAAGAATATTTTTGAGATGGCTGAAAGAAGGCTTAACCAAGTAGAGCGCTTTTAATTAATAACAGCTTCAGATTCTTATTTCAAAATTATTTTTTGTATAAGAATAATTGCAAACAATAATTAGTTAATTTTACGAAATTATATTTACTATAACTATTCTATCACTTAATTTGTTAATTTTGAAATGATATAAAAAACTAATCGAATAAACAAATTAAATAATAATAATAAAATCTAAAATTAGGCTATCTTGTTAAAGTTCGCATTAAGAACTAATAATCACTACACCTTGTATATTACAGCAAAAATTGGTGCAAAGCACGGAATGAAAAATCTACACCCTCGGAATAAGAATGAAAATCAAGAGTTCAAAGAGAGCATTACCTGCGGGGATCCAAATCAGTAGAGAGCATCTGAACAGAGGAGGTGCCGGGACCGAGAGAGCTCCTCGCAAGTGCTTGGAAACGGACTGTGGCTTATCTCCTTCGAGTAACAGCAAATAAGGAAGACGGCAAATCGCGCTTAGAACTTAGAAGAACCAATCAACGGAAACTGAAAGCAGGAAGTCGCGTTAGTATATAAAGGCGGCGCGGGAAATGGAGCGTGAGGTTGAACGTGTGCAACCATGATGGAAGCAGAAGCAGCTAGCAGAGCAGATATTCAAGGGCTCTCGGAGGTTAAAAAAAATCCAAAAATGATATATTACTTTAGAAATAGAGTCGGGTCGGGTCGAGTCGAACTTTTCCTTCGGGTTTATCGGGTCGGTAACTACGGTTAGGGTCAAAGTTTTTATTCCTGTCGGGTCGGGTCAAACTTTTCGTCCGAGAGGGGTCGAGTCCAAATTTTTAAGACATCCTGATCCAATTGCTGGGTGCCCTAATAAGAGGAAGAAGAAAGAAGAATGTTTCCCTCCAAAATGGAGCCGCACATGAAGTTGCTGGCATTCGATTTCACCTCCCTCACGCAAACCCGTTCACACTCCAAGTCATTCACCCGCAAAGGAATCCCCATCTCGCGTGTGGAGAGCCTCGGCACCGTGGTCTCGCGGGATTTGAAACCCAGCCGATTCCTCAAATTCAAACTCGACGACGGCACCGGTTGCATCGCTTGCATCCTCTGGCTGAACCAGCTTTCGTCAAACCAGAACCCATCAACAGTTCGACTGATTGCACAGGTGGCTAACCATTTGGCCGAGGAGATCAAAATGGGGAGAGTGGCTAGAGTTCGTGGCAGGGTTACTGGTTATAGAGGTAGGATTCAGATCACCGTCTCAGATATTGTAATTGAGAGGGATCCCAACGCTCAGATCCTGCACTGGTTGGAGTGTATAAGGCTAGCACGTAAGGTTTTAGATTCTTGCAAATAATTTTTTTTTTTTTTTGTTTTTGCTAATCTTTCTCCCAAGAAACATATAGATTGATATGTAATTTTGTTTTTGGAAATATAAGGTTATTGAAAATTTCAATATGGTTTAAACAGATCCTCAGTTTAGAACTGAGTGGACTGAATTTTTACCCAAAAAAAAATTATCATTATAAATTAGTATTGAATAAATTATTGTTTTATAATTTCAGTAATTATAGTTTATAAATTTATTATTTATTTTTACTTTCATTAAAAAAATTAATCCAATTTGATGTTAAGTTTGTTTTTCTAGTGTTTCAAGATGACAAAAATTTGTAGAATACATGAATGGAGAAAATAAATGGCAATTAAGTATACAGATAAACAAAAACAACATACATAATACATTCATTAATTATGGATTAACCGATATTTTCGCAAATTTATTGCTGGTTTTAATTTTTATAATATTTTATTAAAACATATTTTAAATCGAAAGGAGAATAGTTCATTTTTTATTTTGGTCTAATTGGAATATGTACAATTGTAAAGGAAAGGAAGAAGGTAAGTTGATTAGCAATGAATGAAGGGCATAAAAAGAAAATAAGAGAACGAGGCAATAAAGACAAGACAAAGATATTGGTGAACTTCATTCCTTTGTTTTTGGCTTTTTGATTTTGATGATCATTTTTGTAACTTGAAATAGAAATTGCTCCACTATTGGGTCTTTTGTATTGTTAATTTAATTTAAAATTAATGTCATCGCTGTCATCCAATCTATTTTAATTTTATATTTAAAAAAACTTAATTTAATTTAAAAAATATTAACGTATTACAATTTTTTTATAAAATAAATTTTTAATATGCATACAACTAAATAAAATTAAAAGTAAAATAAAAAAATATATAAAATTTAATATGATTCGGTAAGTATGTTTATATTTATAAATAAGAACGAAAAAAAAAATTATCATGATGAAAATTAATAGTACATCATTAATAAAATTATAAATTTCTCTTAGAATGCTCTTAAAATATATTATAAATATTTTTCAAAATATATATAAAAATATTTTTTAATATATATACAGAATATTCATATAATTAAATCACATCAATACAATCAAATAGAAAGAGTATTATGTTCAGTTAGCACAAAATACTCTATTTGAAAACACTAACAATCTCTATAATGAACGAGTTAACAATTATATTTTTTTTTACTAATGAAACCTATTTCCATTTTCTTATCTATTAAAAGGTAAAACATACTAATTTGGCAACTTAAAAAAGCTTCACCATATGGGTTACCCTTATAATTGCTGGAAGCCAAAAGAAAAGCATCCAACTGACTGTCCATATATACTAAAGCAGAATTCAAAAACAAAAGGGTCTACATCATCAAGTACACATGAACAAAGAGGTGCTTTGGGAAATCACTCATAAATTTCTTTTAAGGAAAATGACAAGAGGAAAGTTCCATCCAAACATGCCCTTATTTTTGGTACATTAAAACCACTATAGAACAAACAGTAATACAAAATGAAGAGTTGATTGGGGAGAGTTTTAAAGCTGAAAAAGCAAAAGACAATGTTTAATTTTTTTTTTTTTTTCCTTTCATCTAAGGAAAGTACATATTTTGCTCAAAGTTCTTCAAGATAATCCTTTGACTGCCTCGTTTAATCTTTCTATCCCTATTCTAATTTTTAATTTTTTTTAAAAATCCCACTTTTCCTCCTAATTCAATTTTATTATGTGTCAAATTAATTGTTAATAGTAGTAGTATCCTTTGACTACTAAGGAATTTATGGTATTTTTTTTTTTTGGGGTTGATTTGATTTATTTTTCAATTCAAAAAGGTAGAACAAACAATTATATTAGGATTGGAACAAATTCATAATCAAATCAAATTTACTTTAATTAAGAAGGAGACAAATAAAAATTTAGGTCATATAAAATTTCATGTGGTTCAAATTATATTAGATTTTGATAAATTCTAAACAGATTGTTCTAAATCCATATAAAATTCTATATGAACTTAATTTTTTGTCATTTTAGGTAGAATTTTAATTATTTTTTAGTTGAAATCATGTGAATTTACAAATAAATTGTATTTCAAATGTAACTTAAAATTTTCTTGCTAATTCTATGTCCCTTTTTTGTGCCAATGATGTACCAATACCCAATGAACTAACTCATCATTCATTTAGCATGAATGGTGCTTATGCTATAAATTAGTAAAAGTAATTTAAAGATAATTTTCAACAACATAAATAGATTTAAGGTGAAAAATGTTGGGTGAAATTTTGTTGTAAAAAATGTTTTTAATATAAAAAAAATGATACTATATTTAGTTAATTATGTTACAAACTAAAGTAAAATATTGAAATAACAAAAAATTAATACTATAATGATTTTAAATATATTTTTTAATTCTTTTAATTTAATTTATTTTAAAATATTTTTTAGTTCAATTATATTATTTATTTTATATGACATGATATTAATTGTAAGTTATTATAAATTAATTTCAGAAAAAAATTATTTAAATGATTTATGATAAATGTAAAATTACTCATGATGAATATATATATATATTAAAAATATTCAATTTCTTTATCAATGAAACATAAAGTTAACAAATATAGTCAAACTATTATCTACCTCTAACATAAGTCGTTTCTCAAACCTATCTATTTCCAGCTTCTAATTTTATTTTTATGAAAAATAACAAGTAATTTCTACTTTTACCTAAAAATACTTATATATTTTTAACATTTAATCAGATTTTTGCTTTCTTGATAATAATAAAATACGCAAAAATTTTGTATGCAGACATTCAACTAATTCAATTGGCAGCAAAATGAGAGAATTTTAGCCTTCTTTAACCTTATAACAATATGTTTTTCTATTGAGAAATTAGCACTACCACACATATGTAATTTGATAAATAGTGTAGTAATATGTTAAAAAAACTCAATTATACATCCCTTGTACGAAAGTTATATTCTATGATACTTATAAGATCTTTAATAGCATTACTATAATAAAACGAACTATCTCTCCAAAATCATAAAATGATTCTTCCGAGTTTCCCTTTAACTTTGAACTTGCTATTGATTTTTCTCTTCTGAAAATAATAAAAAGGAGTGAGTCACACATGCTCAATAAAGATAATTTAAAAATCTAAGTAATTTGACATCCAATACTCATATTATCATTATGTCGATCTACTAACCTATTATACTCACTTCACATATACTTCAATTCATTTATGAAACATCCACTATTTCACTGCTGAATTTCACATACACTATTCTGATCAATTCTCATTCTCTTTAATAGAAACATATAACTGCATTAATTGCACATAATTACATATAAAGTACTTTTCCTCATACTTGTATTTATATTACAATAAATTTTCATCATTCACCGAACACAACTAACACACTTGTATATAAATTCCTCATTATTTTACATAATATTTGTAAAGACCTGGAACTTAAAAGGAAATAAAATCATAAATTAAATGAGGAAACGAAACAATAGAGTTTATGGTTTACATTTCTTACATAATAATTTAGAATGTCAATACGACTATGGGAACGACCCTTCTAAAAGAATAAACAAAATCAAGGAAATAAATAAAAGATAACAGGTTTAGCATTTTAGGACAACTTTCACTAGCTTTTGAAGGGAGTCCAGGTGGTGAACTATTCACAACTCTCTTGTTCATCAGAATATGGGTCTTGTTTCTCTTGATCTGAAATAGTTAATGAAACGGTGAACTACACTATCTCAGTAAAAATATTACGCTACTCACCGATACAGAAGCTGAAGGTTAATAAAAATTATAAAAATAACTAATTGAGCTCTTGATTTAAGTAAATTCATTTATCATAAAAAAAAAAACTATTTATTGCATATATTTACTGTTTACGATATTTTCAAAATCGATTAATAGAAACAATAACTCAAATAACATTCTAATATTATATTCAAGTGAGCAAGAACAGTAACTTTTTCTCTTTATTTGCCTACTGGTATCCTTGGGGACCCATAGGGATGTCCCACTATGTGTGAATCATTATTCAACATTGTCAACTAATCGGTCGTCCCTATATCTCGTCCAGTATGAGCACTAAGAATACCATCTCTCAATACCTCATCCGGTACGAGGGTGAAACTGGCTATCCCCACACCCCGTCTAGTATGAGTGCAAAAAATACCAATCATCGATACCCCCTTCAGTATGAGGCGACGTTCACGGTAGGGTTCCCTATATACCCAATCCATCCACCATCTCCCAAGATATCCAGTAAGATTACCATTCATTCATTCACTTAACCAATTAATTTTTCGTTTACATTTAATTTTTAGTTTCACAATTTAACCGTAAATCAACACAAGACAAATAATACATGCATCAAGAAAACACAACTGAATCATTTTATCAATTTCAGTATATTATCATGTATTTAAAGCTGTAAAATTAAACAATTGGTTAAATACGATAAATAATAATAAATAACTGGTTCTGCCTCCATTAACAACCTGTATTCTTAAAATTTTTTAAATTACACAAATATCGTATAACTGATAATTAAACTTCAATTTCATAATAGAGAATAAGGTAAGGGGTTTTTACCCTAATAGGTGTTCGAAACACCAAACTTTCTACTGCGCCTATCGGTGGTCCCTAGGTTTCCTGAATTTTTCTGCGGAGATTAAAACACGCTTCACGTACCTAAAAATACTCCAAAAAATCTAAAATCGGTGTTAAAAATCTTTCCTTGCCAATTTTAAAATTCCAGCACAGCGGCACCACTGCTCGCGGCGGTGGGTTGTCTCAGCTTGGCCATTTTCGGCCAGTTTTGGTCTGATTTGGCCGATTTTATACCCATTCCTGCGAGAAAATACGTTAAGAGGCATCGGTTGGACGAAAAAAGTCAAAAAAATAAAAAATTATCGGCGATAAAATTTTTCGGTGCGGCGGCTTTGCCGACTCACCTTCGCGGCTGAACCTCTTTTTCGGTCAACCTGTAGAAAACAAAATGGTGAATATAATGGTAGAAAAATTGCATGAAACAGGAAACAGGAAGGGGCTCATCGGACCCG